CTGGGGAGGCTGGTCACCACAATGGAGAAATGCTGCAAAGATTCGTGCACAGCCAAAGGTGCAGAGGGGCTGTTGGTCTCACCCCAGCAGATGCTGGTACCCCAAAGGGCCAGGGAAAGCGGCTGCTGTTGCTGACACAGCCCCGCCCCCGAAGCCGAGTTCACACTCACTCTCGTTCCACGCGGGAGCCCAGGAGGCCGTGGTGAGCCCGAACTGGGGAAGGCGATGTGGTGGTGGAGCTGGGTGGGCGTCTAGTTTTGCTGGGACGGTGATCAGAAGTGCTGGCCCTGCTGTGCCGCTCTGCCTCGGAGTCCGTGTGAGCTGGGGATATAAGGAGACAGTGCCAGACGTTAAATGGCCGAGACCTTTGGGTGCCTCCGTTTATTTCACCGGCGACCTGGACCTGACCCAGACACCTTCCCTCCCCGCTAAGGTGGCTCTGGGTGGGAGAGGATTCAGTCTCCATGGTCCAGTTAGTCCTTGACCTCTCTGCCAAAACATGCACTGTGGACCTCTGCTCACTGGAATGAGACCTTCCCAAACTCATTCCACCCAGGTCACCCAATAGCCAGGTTAGTCGCTATCAGCTTGAGCGGCATTCGAACCAGCAACCAGGAAGTGAAAGGCTCCATTTCCCAGGCCCAGTTTCCAGAGCCACCCACTGTCAAAGGAACAGGACTGAGTGAGTCAACCGACTGAGTGATGGAGGCTCCCTGGTACATTACCGGTTTCCCTCCGAACCATGCGCGTGAGGAAAAAGGGGCCACAGGCTGGATTTGTCTCAGGCCATAAACCAAAGGGAGGATTTAAGATTCTGGGAGCCCTGAAATCTAGTCTGCCTGTGAGCAAACTTCAAGCCAAATCACAGAACCTGTGTCCAAAGGCTGTGGGTATGAGGGGGCGAGAGATCTCTGGGTGATGGGAATTGAGGGTGGGGAGAGGTCACTAGCTGGTACAGCCTTAATTTGGGGGACCAATACAGCTCCCCCAAGCGATGTGGAAGTGGATACTCTCTGTGGGCTTTTCTTATGTCTCTCTCCCTGGCTGTCTGAGCCCCATCATCCCCCTTTAAAGCACCATTTCCCAAGCAGGCACATGGGAATGACAAGCACTGGTCCAAATCTTTTAGATCAAAAATGAAAATTTGGGTGGAAAAGTTTCATTTTGGGCCACGTTTTCCCAGTTTTCTATTGAAACACCAAATCCCCCCAAATTTTGGTTTTCAAAACACGATTTTTTTAAACTAAAAATAATTTTTGAAAACCACGAGATAGGTGGGGGCGGGGGGGAAATGGAAAATGTTCTAAAAAAAATTGATATTTTTTGTTTGTATCAGCGGCAGCTCCTCTCACTGTAGGAAGACGGGAGGAGAACTCTGCCCCCTACAGGAAACAATGTGTGTCTCATGTTGGAGGTGCCCAGACACCCAGGTGATGGGCACTTTCTACTCACTGATGTCTGCGTCTGCTCCCACCTCGCTGGTGATACTGTTTGTCCACTGGGGAGGGGAGCTGGTTGGGGAGAGGCTGCCCCGGGGCAGGCTGTGTCTCCGGGCACTGCCTCTGGGGGGCGCCTGGCTGGCGGAGGTGTACATGCCCAGCAGTTCCTTTTCCGACGGCAGGGGGGCTGCCTCTTTCCGCAGGGAAGTGCGAAGGGCAGCAGGGCTGGATGTGGGGCCAGATCTTCCCAGCATGCCGGGGGTCCTGGGAACAAGGCAAACACACAGACCTCACTGAGGGACTCTATCACCAACCCAGCTGCTATTGCGCTTCACCCAGCTGGCTGGTTTCCTCTGGTCTCTTCCTTCGTAAGTCTTTCCTGGCACCCCTGTCCCAGCCACTGCTCAGCCCACGCATTCTGTAACTACCCTCCCCCGTTCACTAATCACTCTTTGCCATTCCATGTGCTCCAGACCCCCTCACCCCATTCACCCTAGTCCCCAATTCACTGCTCACCCCATTCATGCTACTTCCTCATGCGCCTCTCCCTCAGTCTGATCATCTGCTCTAGTCCCTCCCTTTTCTCTCACCCCCATTCACCAATCACCAACCCCCACTGGACCCCATATACTTAGCCTCCTCCCCATCCATAGGCTCCATCTCATCACACATTCCTTCAGCCCTGGACCCTTTTTATCAGCCCCCCCCAGGGCAGGAGAGGGGATGAGGGCAGGTCATAGGAGCTGGAGCGGGGAGAAGAGAGACAAGAGTCCATACGCAGTGCGAGAGGAGCGATGCTCCGGGGTGCGCGTCAGCGGGGACACCCTGCTGGCCTCTGACCCCACAAACCCGCTGTCCGTCTCTGGAGACACGATGCGTTGATCCTGCAACAAAGGGAAACTTGATCCAGTTCAGATCAACACAAGGGATGCTGGCCATGTGACCAGGCCGAGCCGGTCTGTAGCTGGAGGGGAGACCGCCAAGTACAAGCATACTGGTGGATGGTGCTGGTCAATCAGTAAGTGGTGTTCCTCCCTCGTAATCAGCACTGAATAAATGCCTCAGCATGGTGTTAGGGGGTGCTACGTTGCTGGAGCCATTGTCTTTTATGGGAGAAAGAAGTCTGAAGTTCTGAAGCACATGGTCATTAAACTAAACCCCATGGTCCATTCTGCAGGAATCAGGGTGTTACCTCCACAGGCAACGGGCCATATTCCATGTTGGAGAATTGCATTCTGCCCTGGCAAACTCTCCTGCAGCTTCAAACATGGAAATGATCCTTCCCTTCCTTTCTAAGAACCTGCTGGGTGGTGTTCCAGTGTGCTGTTAAACAGCTGCGGTGGACCACACACCAGAGATGGCTGCATTTCAGCAGCTGAGAAGGCAATTTCTGTATACATAGGGCCTTATTTTCAGAAATAGCTTCTGGATCTGTGCCCCAAATTTAGTGACCCCGAGTAGATGGGAGCCCTGCCCTCCATTTCACCCTTCTGGGCGCTTACCTCGGACCGAGAGGATTTTGCCTGACGGAAAGGCTTCTGCGGAAGGTGCTCAGAAATGGCGCTGCCCACCATGCTGCTCTGGCGGGATAGTGTCTCCTGCTGCTCCCCGAAGGATGGCTTGGGGATTGCATCCTGGGGCCTGGCTTTAATAGCCATGTTCCGAGGGAGGGACTCCTCGCCCTGGACAGAGGACAAGCGACTGCTCTTCCTGACCAGCTGCCGGCGTTCCCCTGGCTGCAGGGCGTGCGACCTCCTCTCCGGGGGCTGCCTGTTAGGGTGAGAAAGCAACACCAGTCAGAGCCTTCCATCAAGATGGGGCAGTGCCCCCTTGTCATAGCTCTGCTGCCATCTGGTCTCCCAGTCCCTGCAGCACCACCAGGTTCAGGGGCACAGCCGCCCGCCACCCCACGGTTACTGCTGGCAGTGGCTCAGGGGGCTTTCGGGGAGCACTGAACCTACACGGCACAATAGGTCTGCACCTGCTCCCACTGGAACCAGTGGCAATGCCCCCATTGTTGCTGTCAGCATAGTTCAATGGGAGCAGAGTCAGGCCCACCAGGTGCCCAGCTAGTCAGGTGTCTGCTTCCATGCCCAAGGCTGCACCACGAGAGCTGGGTGGAGAAAGGTCCGTCCGGTTCCCAGAGGATTTCCAGAGTTGAAATCTGGGTCAGTTCCGAATCGAAATGAAAATCAGAGTGCTCCACAAAAGGATGGGAGACCACTACTCCTGTGGGCTGTTTCTGGGAGCCCCGATTCCAGGGTGCTCTGACTGGAGGGCTGCCCCCAGAGACTTGGAAGCCCTAGGGGCCGGGCGGGCAGGCTGTGGAGGAACTGGGTGGGCGCGCTGGCAGGAAACCAGGCAGGATTCCATTTCACACACACACACACACACACACACACACACTCCTCTCGACAGACTGGGCTGTTGGAACTTTGTTGGCATCGCAACCGTCTCTGCGAAACATTTTGATTTCCAGCAACCAGCGAAGTCAGACAAAAAGGTGTTTCCTAGGAACCTCTCTGACCAGCTCTATGCAGCATTCTGCTGCGAGTCTGGCCCCGGTGAGGAAAAGCACCGTAAATCACAGGCCCCAGGGCCTACACGTGTGTATTGCAACGATGTGGGGAGTCAGCAACCAGATGGGTGGATTTATACCTTAGCTTGTGAGCTTTATTCAGGGCAGGGACGGCATCTTCCTTTACATATGTACAGCTCCTGGCACAGTTTGGGCTTTTACTGTGGTCTCTGAGTGCCTTACAGACATGCTACAAGTAAACAGCCAAAACCTCAGTTTCTTGGTTTTCTCCTAGTCAGTAGAATGTGTTCAAGTTTGCACGCTCAGTTTTCTTCCCCCCTTCCCACCCCCAATCCTTCCTCCTCTTGGCCTCGCCCTCTTTCTCCTCATTATTTACTCTGCAATGGGCTCGCCCCCAGGGGACAGAGCCCTCTTCGCTTCCGCAGCCAGCCCTGCTCTCCAAAGCGGGGTAAGAAATAGCTGAAGGCTCCTTTGTTCTGCTTGTGACTTGGAGAGAGAGAGAAAGAAGGCGTCTTTGTGCGCCTGGTTTATTACATTTTAACCGGGTAAAGCGAAAGTGGGACTCACTTCTCATTTAGGTCACCCCCAGACACCCAGACAAAATACCCTGGTAAATGTAACCCAGCAGAACAGCACGTAGTGGGGTGAGACTGAGTCCACACTGGCCAATACACCATCCTAACACTGCCCTGCTGCTACCCTCCGTTTCTGCAACATTGAAGATTTCATTTAAAAAAAAAAAAAAAAGAAGGTGAAAAATTTCCAAAAGCGGCCACTGATTTTGGGAGCCGAACTCGAGAGCATCCAGAGGCAATTCCGATTGTGAGCTCTTTGGGGAAGAGAGCATCTTTCTGTTCTGTGTCTGTCCAGCCTAGCACAATGGCGTCCCGCTTCCGTGACTGGGCTCAGAGGCACTACCACAATCCAATACAATCAGTAAGCAAGTCCATTTGAGCACCTAAAATGCAAGCATTTTGCAGAGGGTTTAACAAAACTCCTGACTCTCCAATCCTATGGAGTCAGTGTGTGGGATGGATGATTCATGGGGATAAATTTTCAACATTACTTTTTCCCTTTTAATGCTTAAAGATCTTGCATGCTGTGAAGGGTATTTGTTTCAAATCTCTCTCTCTCCCCATGAAATACTAAGGAACAACAAAGGGCTGATTTTCAGAGATCTCAGGAGAAGCACTAGATGAAATGACAGGGAATTACAGGGTTCCAGTCCCACACTGGGCCCTAGATAATTGAGACACACAGAAGCAGTGGCCACCTTTGAAAATCTGGACCTGTCTAGCCATCATGGCTGCAAAGAAAACTTTTCAAATGCAACGTAATGCTGTGCAGCCTTCCTGAGAAACAACAGTCCCCGACAGCCATGAACTACCCCATTCCTCTGTGGGTGTTACCTCTGAACCCTAACAATGGCAAGACAAACACCAGTAATATAAACTATTTCACAGCTGATCAGTTTAGCGGAAACATAAAGCCCTGCACTTTAGCCTTTGGGTTTCCAACATGACAGGGCATTTAAACAAAGAAATGAAAATACAACAGTTTTTAATAGACATTTATTTTTTAAATAACAAAAAAGCTTTGTAACGATCTCCCCTCCCTTCTAACAGAGCCGAAATTTTGGGCCTACAGTCAGTTGGCACTGTCCCTTTAAATTAGTCTCTTGTCACTTCCCCTCTCCCCCCAATTAGTGCAGGATATTCACAGGGCATGTGGTTTGTGCTCCTGAATTACTTACGGCTGAGTGGTCACATGGGTCCTCTCTTCCTTTAATGACAACATCCTGTGAGGGCTCTCAGCCGTCCCAGCATCTCCTGCAGCAGGGCCATCCACTTCCTGTGGGGAGCCGTTCTCCTCCAGGCCCAGCTGTTCCATGCTCAGAGATTCAGGCAAGGACTTGAAGCTATTGTAGCTGGTGGTATGAAAGAGATTGAGTGTCTCTCCAGCCAGCCAGAGGTCCCCTTCCTAGTGGCAGCAATACCATGTTCCAGCACCCAGACCCAGTTAAAACCCCAGGGGCACTCGCACCTTAGGCTGATGAGCCAGCTCCCGTTTGATCTGGATTGACTGGCAGCAGCCAGTTTCGCAGGACAGGTGAGCAGCCGGATGCGTAAGCAAACAGGGCACTGGCAGCTCTATCAGAGCAAGGGATAGTATGGGCAAAAGCTCCTCCCTCACTGCTCTGCCAAAGCACCTCGATCCTACCTGGCAGAGGCTCTCGTGATTTCAGCACCAAGCTCCCACCCGCAGCTTTAGCAATGCAGGTGTGGCTGCCCCTGCCAGGCTGGTATCACGTGCTGGTTATTCCAGGGAACAAGACTGAAGCTGCTAAACTCATGACACGTGTGTCCATGGCCGGGTTGGACACAGGCGTCCAGAGATGGGAACCAATTGCCCTTTGTGCCATGAGAAGTCGATGCTTGAACTCTCGGCCGGCACGAGATCCGTTTCCCCTTCCCAGTAATGAACACAGTGATGAGGCCAAATGCACCTTTCCTGCCTGGGGTGGGCAGGGAAGCTGTTCTCAATGCAGAGATCGATGCTGTGTTTTCAGAGCCCCTGACCTGCAGGCCCCTTCGTGTGACTGCCTCAGAGAGCTGACACCGGCAAAGAACTGAAGTTGAAACACACCCCCCTCGGGCACAAAACTGCTGTACTGCATGCCGGGCACTTGTGTTGCACGAGTGCTGGCTGTGAGCACGTAACATGGAGCGTGCGTGTCCATTTCAACATGTCAGCATGCAAGGGGCTGGCTGGGTTAGCAGGGACAACACTTACTGGTCCAGCAGGTTACCGAAGAACTTCTCCACTTGAAGCTGCTTGTGCCGAAGGGGCTCGGGAAGCTCTTCTCTCTCCTCCTCCGTCTCGCCACTCGCAGAACTCACCTCTGCGTCCACTTGCACTTGGGCGCGGGCATGCTTTGGAACAGGGGCCTAGGGGGCAGAAAGGGGTAAGGTCAGCCCCCCAACCAGAACACCTCTGCCAGCAGGGGGCGCTGCAAGGAATGGTACCATATGCTGGCTGCAAAGGACCTCAGCAATTTTCTAGTTCAAGCTACAAATGGGAAGAATCTTGAAAGAAGCCAGGGCTTCTACACTATGTCGGGGCAGCTCAGCCCTACGCCAGCTCCAGCCTCTTCCAGCAGGAGGCGCTGTAGGGAAGCGAGTGGGAGCTCAGGCGGTGTGTGTGGATGGGGAGAGCTCACTGCTTCTCCAGTTCTGGCCTGACCCCGTAGGAGTCGCTGAGGGAACTAGGCAGCAGCAGTGGCTGCGGGCAGGGCATCCCCGCTACTCCAGTCCCAGGAGTTTTCAGTAGTGTCTTGGGAGTGAAAAGTGTCACCTTGCCTGGGAAACCTCAGGCCACAGAAACCGAGAGCAGCACAGCATTTACCTCAGGGTAGGGAGTGCGAAGGGCCGGGATCGGGGCTTGAACTGACGGCCTTGGGGAGGAGAGTGGCGGCTCTGAGACCAGGGTTGGCAAACAGCTGGGAGGCAAGGCTGGCTCAGAGCAACTCCTCGGGGAGGGCAGGCTCTGCAGCGCTCGGTCAATCCCATCCTTCAGCTCCTCCAAGCGCATTCCCAGGCGGAATATCTCCCCTTCCACCGCTCTGAAACACACCATGCCAGCAACAGAGGGGTGAGGGCCTTCAAAACCATGCCCAGGTGGAAAGAAACAGCCCACAGCTTAGGAAGGAAGGATGGCCCAGCGGATAAGGCACCGGCATAGGACCCAGGCGCTCTGAGTTCAGGTCCCGGCTTTGCTACAGTCTGCTTGGGTGACTCCTTGTGGCCCCCTCCCCATCTGGTAACAATCCTTCCTTTGTTTGGCCTGTTTGGATTGCAAGCTCGTGGCAGGGACTGTCTCTGGGTGTGTGTACAGCGCCTAGCACACTGGGCTTCTGCTCCGAGACGGGGCACTGGCAATAGAAATAAAACATAACGACTGCCCCACACTAGAATGCTCCGGGCCAGGTTCTGAACCAGGTAAACCGGCAGCAGGGGAACTGCCAGACCAAAGGACACTAACAGTAGCAGGTGCTTCAGCCTTAGGCTGGCTTCTCCCCCTTCCGTGTTTTTACCCTACCTAGTATACCTGCAGGTGCTGTTATTGTCCAGGTCATCAGGACTAACTTCACTGGTGTGGGAGGGGTTACCCTGGATTTACACTGTTGTGGCTGAGATCAGATCTGGTCCACTCCCACCCGCTCTTAGAGCTCATCTGTCACGCAGGGTACACGTGCGGCTCCAGGTCATTGTCTGCAGCGTCAGAGCGTCCTTTTAAACATGTGAATCATGAGCCAGGAGAAATCAGCCGACAGAGCTGGCTAGCACGGGATTGGAACGCAGCAGGCAGTAATTCACTGCTTAGGATTCACAGGCCTCATCCCTTCATTAACGTCCATAAGTATCAATCAGGAAACACAGGTAGATTAGAATAAAACGGCATAATCGCAACAGGCCAGGCCAGTGTCACAAATGTGGCTGCATTAATCACACTGATGGACTGGACTGTGGCTCATCTGCACAGGCGTTAAGCATTCATTCACGCCCCTTTGCGGCTGGCTGCTCAAATAAACCCAGCTTTCAAACTCCAGTCCCAGAGCCCCTCTCTGTCCAACCTACATTTTCTTTCTTGGGCTCTAACCCCCCCTTGGCAGTGTCTGAGCACCTCATTTATCCTCACACCCCGGGGGCGGTGTTGTTGTCTGCATTTTACAGACGGGAACAGAGACACTAAGCAATTTGCCCAAGGTCATAGGGTACCTGTAGCCGAGCCCAGACTTGAACTCCTGATCTCCAGAGTCCCAGGCTGGCACTCTAACCACTGAGCCATGCTTCCCCTTGATATAAATCATCCTTTGAAGAGGACGCTGTTTAAGGAACAAAGGCGGATGAAAAAAAAAAAAGCTACCTGTCTGGATCGAAGTCCCCAAGGGGCCCCGCTGCGCCTGGGCACTGTTGCTGCAGACGGTTTTCTTCCCGGGCCTGCAGATACGCTCGCTCCAGAGCATCCTGCGCGTCCTTCAGCCTCGCAAATCCCTACGACGGGGGCAGCACATCAAAATGCGTGAGTGTGAGCTTTCGGCCCCCCCACGCTATGGAATCCTTATGCCAGCTGACACGCCCAGGATGGCGTCTGGCTAGGCCGCGAGGGTGGGATTTTGAACTCCAGCCAGGCTGAACTGGGCCTGTGAATCCTGACTTTAACAAAGCCAGGACCACACGCATGCAGCCATCACGAGTCCTCTGAGGAGATAAACCTGGGACCTTCAGAACCAGAAGCATGAGCCTCTGTCAATTGAGCTAGAGAGTTACTCCATTAGCTATGCTTAAGTAGAAGGCTCTTATCCCCTTTGGGGCCAGCCATAAGAGGAAACAGGATCACACACACCAAATCAACGTAGTACAGTGGTGCTAGGAACTATATAGCTATGCCCAGCACTGGCACCCCTGGCACAAGAGGACTAAGTAAGTACAGCATTGCTTAACAACCTCCTCCCTGCTCCACTGCCCTGTTTGCCTCCCGACCGGGGCCGGCTCCAGGCACCAGCGAAGGAAGCAGGTGCTTGGGGTGGCCAATGGAAAGGGCCAGCACGTCTTGGTCTTCTGGGTCCTTCAGTCCCTCTCTTCCTCTTTGAGCTGCCGCCAAAGAGCCGCCGAAGAGGAAGAGAGGGAGCGAAAGACCCACCGCCGAATTGTCGTAGAAGAATGAAGCAGCGTGATTGAGCTGAAGTACCGCCGATCGGCTTGATCTTTTTTTCGCTTCGCCGCTTGGGGCGGCAAAAAAGCTGGAGCCGGCCCTGCTCCCGACGCTCAATGAAGAGGTCTTACACTGCAGCTGGGGCCCGGCTGTGAAACTCCAAGGTTGTGACTGTGCCCAGCTGCGGCAGTGTCACAACGCTGGCATCACAGCAGGTTGCCACCTCGCCCTGGCGTGATGCGGCACAGCATCGGGAGGCAACAGTACCGTGCCACGGCACTGAACAGCCTCAGGCCTGGTGACACTGCTTTATTGGGGACACGTGGGGTCTTCTGCATAGAATCACCAGACTGGAAGGGACCTCGAGAGGTCATCTAGTCTGCCAGGAGAGCAGGGGACTAGGACTAAAGTATTATGTGCTTCAGCCCCTCTGGGGTTCTCAGTGACCGAATGGGCCACATGCACGTGCCTGGCACTAGACGCAACTGCTACTCCGCATAGATCTCCTGGAAATTCCTGGGATCTCAGAAAAGGGGCTAATAAGAGAAGCAGAAAGTAAAGTTGGGTGTACCGAGAGCTGGTCCTGCGGGGTCAGTCTTCCCATTTGGATCAGTCCCTCGAAGGATTCCACCTGGATAGGAGGAATAAGGCATTAACTAAATGTCCCATGGAGCTGACCTACAGGAAGGTAATTCTAATGGTTGCAGCATTACAATGGAGCTTAACCTCCTAGACCTGCCCCTCCTCTTCCTCATGGTTCCTTTCTTGTCCCCCATCCCTTGCTGGATTCTCCCCCAGAACTGACCAATTCAGTGCCCCCATTCCCCAAATACGAGTGGGTTTCGTTCCACACACTGCAGTTGGCTCGCTCTGGACCCCACTTGCCTGCATCTCAAATTTCCTCGCCTGACCCGCCAGAGTCTGTGTCAGGGGATCCTCCGGAAACGGTCTCTCTGTAGAGGTGCAGGCGTCAACCCCGGTGAGTGTGGAATGAGCCGGAAAGGATGGAGCCTGGTTACCTGGTGCTGACGATGGCTCTGGAAGAGAAGACAAATGTAAGAAGATCCCAGCTGTGTCATCTCCAAGACTAAGGGACCACCTCCATCCTGAGCACCACGGCAGGGACAAGCCACAGTCTCCAGACTTGACTCCAGAGCAGTGAGATCAAATACATTCAGCTCACTCTCAGCAGCTCCCGATGAGTCAGAGAGCCCAGGTGAGAAGCACCTGGGCTTCAGTCTCTGGTGCACGTGTCAATCGGCAGATGGAACTCCTCGTGAACGAGCATCTGCTGAAAAGTCAGCCCTGCTCGGTTCTCTTTGCTTCTCCCACTGCTGCTGAGAAGATGGTGGGGGATATTTAGAGCTGGTACAAATGGTGCCAACTCCATTGAGATCACTGGCATCGTGGCCGCTTGCGCCAGTGATGAATTTGGATCCGGGCCAACACTGGACCACATCCTTCCTGTACAGCGACAGGTGGGGCCTGCACATGGGCAGCACGGATGCAACTGCAGCAACTGGGCAGGTGATGACAAGATGCTGCATGAGAGGGGTCCCAGCAATGGGTGGGCGGCACAGCACGGGGTAGGGAGGGCGCAAGGTGAATGGATCCTGCACACCAGAACGAGCTGCATCTGCAAGAGCACAGCACCCCTACTACCACGGTGGAGTCCTGGGAGCTGGAGCATAGGCTAGCGATGATGGACAGTATCTCCAGCTGCTGGTAGGTGGCGTGCATCCAGATTCCTCCGTTGGCATTTGGTCTGGAGCTGTCCCCATCCGTGCTGCCCCAGTTGTGAACAGCTGGAGAACAGCAGGCGTAAGGGAGCTGCTTATTGCCAGGGCAGGAAGGAAGGGGGCAGCAGAACGAGAGGAAAAGCAACTGCACTAACAGACTCTCCAGTGCCTCAAACCCACCTTCATCCAGACCCGCTGGCAGGGCTGGAGCAGGAGTGGTGCTGAACTCTGCCGTCTGGATCTGTGGGATGCTGAAAGCCATGACCTTGGAGCCGTGGGCCATGGTCCCCATGTGAACGCTGTGGCTCGGCTTCGGCGGGTCGGCGTACAAGCTCACCTGAGGGGCGGGGAGAAAACAGAGCAGAGAATTCAGGTCACTCCTGACACTGACCCTCAGCACCCAGAGGATCTGGCTTGCAGACACCGGGACAGCTTGTGGGAAGCACCAGCTCTTTGTGTTGCTTTAGTCTGGGGGATATTCTTCCATGCTGGCCTGGGGGTAATGCTCTGCACTGCCGTAAAGGAGCTCCGGCTACCATTCCCTGCTCTGATCTCCCACTGCCCAAGCAGGGAGAGGCTGAATGCACCATGCCCGGAGAGGGCTCGGCTCGGGGCGTGTCTAGCAGCACCAGCTGTGGGATTCTGTCAAAGGAAGAGCCAGCTCCACCGCTAACCAACTGCTCATCCTGCCTCTCACGTTGCTAGTGGGCTTTCTGAGGGACAGCAGGAGTCTTATCCAGCCTTCCTGAGCCAGGAGAGCAGAGACTAGTAAACACCAGCTCAGTCTGGCCCTACCACCCCTGACGTTGCCTTAGAAGACCCCGATCGCCACCCCAAGGGACAACAACAGCAGCGTATTCCCAGAACATCAGTGCAGGGCTAATGACTGGGGTGGGTGCATCAGGGTGGACGGGATGGACGGGGACAAGAGTGTAATATAGCATTCAGAAGATGTGTGTCTACATGTACGCTCGAAATCCACGCTTCGCCCACATGCACAAAACTGCATGCGCACACACTCAAACATGCCCACACATATCCACCTTGGCACGTTATCAAGATTTTGGGCACAAAGTGCTGAAAGCAGAAATCTCTCCCCGAACTATTTTCCAGCCAAACTCTTTCTTTGGTTCCCTTGCTAGCCCGGAAGGAGCAACGAGGATCCCCGTACTAGTTGGCACCAGGATACCCGGTTGGCTGGCAGCGCCTCTCTTTTAAGTTGCACTTCACGTCCTCGCAATAAAATGCGATCCATTCAGAAACAGTATCGTAGCCTCAGCACCAAGGCACTTGTCTCTGCCTCCTTCCTCCTGGGCCCCTTTCCCAGCTCTCATCCCTCCTCTGCTGGCAGAGGACTTGGCTGGATTGCAGTAATCCCCACCATCTGCTCACTCCCGCGCCGTGAAGCATGGCTCAGAACCCATCTCCACCTGCCCCGCGTGAACCAAGATCTGGGAGAAGTTTCCTCCCAAGCTCTTCCTTTCATTCCATTTTTGGTAGCAAATTCTCCCCCGCCCAAACTCCCAGGAACCCAGTGGAGACAGAGGCAGAGCTTGTGCCCATCTGCGCTCTTCTGGACTGCTTCTTGCCTTATTGTTACCCCCCATCCACATGCCCTCTATAAGAACGGCCATAAAGAGTCAGATCAAAGGTCCATCTAGCCCAGTATCCTGTCTTCCGACAGTGGCCAATGCCAGGTGCCCCAGAGGGAATGAACAGAGCAGGTAATCATCAAGTGATCCATCTCCTGTCGCTCATTCCCAGCTTCTGGCAAACAGAGGCTAGGGACACCATCCCTGCCCATCCTGGCTACTAGCCATTGATGGACCTATCCTCCATGAACTTATCTAGTACTTTTTTGAACCCTGTTATAGTCTTGGCCTTCACAACATCCCCTGGCACAGTGCGTTGTGTGAAAAAATACTTCCTTTTGTTTGTTTTAAACCTGCTGTGTATTAATTTCTGTGACCTCTAGTGCTTGTGTTATGAGGAGGAGTAAATAACACTTCCCCATTTACTTTCTCCACACCAGTCATGATTTTATAGCTGTCCTTCAGTCATCTGGTACAGAAGCGGATTTAAATGACAGGTTACAAACCACAGTTAGCAGTTCTGCAATTTCACGTTTGAGTTCTAGTGACTTCCCCAGATTTAGCAACAGAGGGTCCTGTGGCACCTTTAAGACTAACAGAAGTATTTGGAGCATAAGCTTTTGTGGGTAAGAACCTCACTTCTTCAGATGCAAGATTTGTCACCTAAAAAGAATGGCTCAGGTTTGGGAAGCTCCCTCACATCCTCAGCCGTGAAGACGGATTCATTTAGTTTCTCCGCAATGGCCTTATCACCCTGGAGTGCTCCTTCAGCGTCTCGATTGTCCAGTGGCCCCACTGGTTGTTTAGCCGCTTCTTGTTTCTGATGTACTTAAAAATTTTTTGCTATTACTTTTTGAGTCTTTGGCTAGCTGTTCTTGAAATTCTTTTTTGGCCTTCCTCATTATATTTTTACACTTCATTTGCCAGAGAGTTTATGCTCCTTTCCATTTTCCTCAATAGGATTTAACTTCCACTTTTTCAAGGATGCCTTTTTGCCTCTCACTGCTTCTTGTACACGGTTTACATTGTTTACATGGGTGGCACTTTGTTGTTTCTCTTACTAAGTTTTTTACTTTGGGGTGTATTTACGTTGAGCTTCTATTCTGGTGCCTTTAAAACGTTTCCATGCAGCTTGCAGGGATTTCACTTTTGGCGCCGTACCCTTTAATTTTTGTTTAATTAACTTCCTCAGTTTTGTGTACGGTAGTTCCCCTCTCTGAAATTAAATGCCTCTGTGGTGGGCTGCTGTGATGTTTTCCCCAACACAGGCATGTTAAATTTAATTATATTATGGTCACTATTACCAAGCGGTTCAGCTCTATTCACCTCTTGGACCAGATCCTGTGCTCGACTTAG